TCATTCAATTTTTTCAATCTTTCTTTGAATATGGAAATGTGTGCAATTGTATCTACTTTGAGTGAATGTAGAATTGGAAAACTATAAGCCGCATTATTCAATAAGGGAGAATTCAATGAAAACATAATAATATAAAATTGATGATTTTTAATTTCAAATAATTTCACAGTTTTACAGCTCTGGTAAGTACATACGAACACTTTGCTCCGCTCAAATTTAAAAATACATTTACTAATTAAATATTAGTCACTATCGCGTGCGGAATTTTCTTCCAAAAATTAATCTGTCGAAAATAGCTTACCCCTTCTCCATCACTTACCTTTATCACTGCGCCGTCGTTGTCCTCGTCGTCGTCATCATCGTCGAATGACTCATGCTCGCTGGCTTCATCCTCATTCTCTTCTACTATTTCGCGACCACCGACAAACCACTGTACATTGGCTTCTGGTGGGTAAACGCGCGCGCAAAATGCCACTTCAGCAGCACCAACAGTCGTCAGTAGCGGCAGCGGTGATTTCAGCAATGTCGGCTGACATTCATGCTGCGCTAAGGCAGACAAACGCTCCTCTTCGGCGTCGGTAATGTTAAGCTGACAAGCAGTGCTGCAAGTTAGACCAGCAGCAGTACGCACCTCACAGGCATACTCGCCGGTATCTAAATCGAAAGCGTCGTTTATGCGCAGACAGAGTATGCCATTGCCGTGATCGATTTGACTGCATTGGAGAGAGGAGATACATAGTAGGACTCTATGATACTCGGAAAACTAAATGGGTACTCACTTGAAGTCCTCATCGTCGGGTAGCAACTCACCGTTGCGCGTCCAGGTGTAGCTATATGGCTCTGCGCACTCTAATTCTAGGCATAAATCTACAGTATCGCGTTCGTATGCCTGCAATTGCGTGGGAAGTGAACGGGAAATGCGTGGTTCTCTTAGGCGCGCAGCCAATGCTTCATCCTCCGTTGACTGGAACTGCACCCAGGTGCTGGAGAGCAGTGGCTCGTGTTCACCTTGCAAAATGCATGTGTACAGGCCCTCATCGGCTTCGGTCACATTGTCAATACATAGCAGCGCTTCACGTTCGTTCACTACGATTTGCACGCGCTCATCATCCTCCTCCAGTTCATAACCATTGTGATAGAACTTACAGGATGGCACAGAGGATCCACGATAGCCGGTAGCCAAGGCCATGCGGCCACCGATCGCCGTCGATGGTCCCATAATGCGTCGATGTATGTGTGCATTGCGTCGTGATGAGGATGCGCGTACGCTGCGCGCGGAAGGTGAACGCGAGTAACGCGAACGACCAATCACATCGAGGCGTGCTGTAGCCTCAATACGTCCGTAATCATTCTCCAAAGTAATGCGGTACAAGCCGGCATCATCGAATGTGACCTCATCAATTTCTAGAAAACGCAAATCATCCACCTCTTTCACAGCTATCCGCGCAGTGGGCGTAACGATGATACCCTCTTTGTCCCAGGTAGACCAGGGTGTGGGATGACCAGCTATTGCGCATTGGAAGCGCACGCT